ATGCATTGCCCTTTCGTTTGGAATGCTAGGGCCTGCTTTCGCAGTGGTTTTCCAACGACCTTAATGCAGCTGGTAATTGCTTGCCTGTCGGAATGCCGCCACCTCTCCAAGCCATTGGTTGCTAAACACAGAATGCATGGCCTGAAAATATAGGCCATTTTGCCGAGTGCACAAGTACACAAGCACACAAGTGCACAAGAGCATTCACCTGCACAAAGCTGACATCTGCCGACAATCACATCTGAACTTTCGCAACGAGTACTGAGAGGCTTTTTTGCATAATTCAGTGCCCCAGGTAGTTTTCACCTGATTCTCTTTCTGTTTCACCTCTGCATGACCCACTTAAGTCTTCTTTGACGGCCGTGCTGTTTGTTTGTTTGTGTTTGGGTTGGTTGTTTTGGGTTTGTTTTTTTTGTTCTGTCGTTGCCTCGGCCGGAGACTTAGTCACAAGTAGCACAAGTTGACCTGTGCATGCTCTGCACACATGGCGGCTCCACTCGTGCAAAAAAAGACCGCCTAGTACATCGAACACAATAAGCAACCACGTAAGCCCACACTTTAAGACAATTGCCCTCTCGCTTGGAGCGTCAGAGCTTTTGTCTCAGCAGTGGTTTTCCAGGGCCTGACATAACAAGCAGATAAAAGCATATGCATCCTCCCAAGAACGCGCATTGTCTCAAGTGCTGTCTGTCACATTTCTGCCCGGCTTGTTTCGTCTTTGCCTCTTCGAGACGTCTTTGGTTGCCAATCAACAAGGAGCACGGAAAGGATTGCCCATTAGTGCTCGATGACACAGCCTGCCGATGCAGGCTTGTTGATCTTGTGTCATGATACGCATTTGTACCGCCAACATCGTTGCCCTCTTTGCCCTAATTCATTGCCCGACCTCGGTGTCACTCTCCGTCTCACCTTTGCATGTACATTCACGCTTTCTTTCAATAGAGAGTCTCCATCCCTGCTGGTCTTGATTGCTTGGTTTTGGGTTTTTGTTTTGTTTCTGTGTTTGGTTTTGTTGGGTTTGCCCTTCTTGATAGAGACTCTCCCACAAATTGCACAAGCTGACCTCGTGCAAAAAAAACCTGAAAATCACTCCATGGCAACACCACCTGACCCAGTTGTCCCTTGTTTGATGAAGAACAGCCACGCAGGGCCTTCACGAGATGTATCAGCAGGCTCCGTGGTTTGAAACTCCACAGGCCGTTGCTTCGACCCCATGCCAGCACTGTCAAGACCTGCCTTTCTCACTGAAGAAAAGAAGAAAAGAAAAAGATGGACATGTTGCGACAGTTGCATGAGAGAAGGGAGCTTGAACGGGTGGAGAAAGAAGAGATGACGCGACATCTCCAGCGTGTGGCCAAGGAAAATCAGATTCGTGATGGACTTGTGCAAGCCGAATCGGTGCAAAGCACTCGTGCCCGACAGGTTGAAGAAGAGAGAACACAAAGAATGCTCCATGTTGATGGATGAGAACATCAAGCTGAAGGAAGATCTGCAAAAGATTGCAAGGCAGGTCGAAAAGAAAGAAGATGAAGCAGCATTTGCCACTCCCAATGGAAGTGTTGAGCATGAGCCAGTCACCTCAGCACCAACCATGTGGGATGATGACGAAAAGGAAAACACCAAAGAACCAAAGCCGGAGGGTGAGAACTCCGGAAAAGGGAAAGGGTCTAAGAAAAGAAAAGAAAAAACACAAGGTGACACGCAAGAGCAGACACTCAATGTCATCCTCAAGCTCGTTGAGGGCATGCAGGAACTGCATAAGAAGGTGATGAAGAATGGTGAACATGAGTCCAACGAAGCTGAAGTAGTGCGGGGCGCTGTCGAATTGTCTCGTTCGCAGGATTGGAATGCTGAGACCTCACCCATTGACATGCCGACTGGTTGCTACTCTGCATCCCATTATGGCTGATCTCTCACCAACAAGTGAAACATGGTGGGAGGAAGTTGTCAAAGTTGCAAAGGAATGGTATGTCAGTCACATGGCGAAGACCCCTTTGGATCGGTTACGTTGGCCATGTTGGTGATGTGTTCCGGGGCTCATGCCCCCAGGCTCCCATGAGGCTGGCATGTTGTCGCGTTCACACGTTGACATGCTCTCAAACTTCCATGCTGTTTTTACCAGCCTGCTCACATGGAATTTCTGACACGCTAAGGTGTTGCCACGCCGATGAACTGACACAGTGTCATGGTGTGTGTGAAGCACAGTGACATGATTCAAATTGTTACGCTGATCTGCTGGCGTGGCGTCACGCTTCCAAGTTGTCACGCTGTCATGCTGACACATTGTGAGACTGGCATGGGTCACACTAACATGCTAACATGTGGTTGAGGGGCTCCAAGGCCGGTTGTGGACACAAATTGAATGGGTTTGTTTGTTGCGCATTGGCGTATTTCCGTGGCACATTGAAAAACGATTCAAACATCATTGAAGAAACAATCCTTAACAAACATACACCACTTGTTAATAAACTTGCAAACGTTGCAAATTTGTTGCAAATTTGTTGACACAAACCATATGTTGCCAGTGCTTAATCGGCAATTTCATGCGCAACTCCCAGGGATTTTTTGCTCACCTTTTTACTTCATTTTTGTTTTTCTACTTCTCACATCTTCCAACATCGATCAAACTGTTTTTCACATCTTTCCCTGCTCATTGTGGAGTGGATGAGGGTCAAACAGCATGAAATACGTTGTTCAGCAACAATCCAAAGCCAGAGGGGCAGATCTTCGTTTGCAGAGGTTTAAGGTTTGGCAACCCTCTGCAAACGCAGCCTCACAAACAAATGGACAAAAATGCGTGCGTGTTTCAAGCAGATCCCTAAGCCCTAAGGGTTTGGATCATGACTCTAGCACGCCCTGTTATTTCTATACGTGCATATTACCATGCATGGACGTTGATTCTGATTCGCACAATACAGGTGTTTTTCACAACGGGGGAAGGTTACCCTTTAAGGCCTTTAACTGTTGCATCACGGGTATCACTGCATCGAGTTTGACTTGATTGCACTACGAGATATTGAGGGTAATGGTGTTTTTGCATGACATTTCATTTCTAAGCACGCAACATCGCTTGTAAAGAGAAGGTCTCCATTGATTGTGGTACAGTTTGCTTTGTTGTTATTAAAATATTAGAGGCAACGCAGGGTCAGTTTCACCAGTGATTCGATTGGTATTAGAATGAACCACATTTCCATTTGCTAGCTATGGCACCAGTGATGAGTCTCCGTGGAAAACGCTTGTGCATGCAATTTTGTTGACTGGTGCGTACAATGTGCGAATGACACCAGGGCCTTTTTCAGTGCCAAGAGATATTGCAGTCCTGCAGTCCCTCCGCCCACGTCAGAATGGCAATGGAGGTGGGCGGGCCTGCTGCGAAACGCTCGACCGATGTCACGGGCTTTTTGTACCGATGTCAACGCTCGCATTTCGATGCGAGGTGGCCCAGAATGTGGGCCACATGAGATGAAGAGACGAACAACACAATCTCCGTTCATTCCGAAGTTCTTCTTTTTGTGGCCTTTGGGGCATTGGACTGTTGGCTTAGGCCCATGGGCAAGGAGGTGCTGAAAGAACACCAAACACACCATCCGACATGACCAGGTGGCCTTCCTTGCTCCGTCTGTGCTTGCCTCGGCGGTTCTGAAGATCGGAGGGACGAGTCTGGGAGTCCTTGTTCATCCGAAGATCCGTGCTGCCCAATGTAACGAACGTATGTTTACTGCCCATAGGTGATAAGCTTTTTCATCATGGACAAGTCCCCCAGGTTTCAACGTGAAATTCGATCCCGGGATTCGGGACCTGCTTTTTGTTTTACGCCCCAGGTCAGTCAGCCTGCTGTCGCTCAGCATATGGGCACTGCCCCAGGAGCTTTGTTGGTGCAAAGAACTATCGCTATTTGCAGACATGATCATGGGCTCCATAAGTGAGTATGCTGCTCACAAAAGTCCTGCTGCTAGTGCTGCAAACAAAAGTAGCTGTTGGTAGTGCGGCCTTTGAACAACTCTTGGAATGTGATACAGACAGAATGCTTCGAGGACCTCAACCAAGCAGCGGGTTTGGCATGAAGTTGGCGGCTGGAGTTTGCAGTGCGGCAGCTGCTGTGGGCTTGGCCTCCAGTCGCAAACGCTCCAAGACTGCTGCCCGATACACCACTCAGACCATCCTGCCTTCTTTGGCCTGGATCAAGACCGGAGTGAAGGCCTCCGAACTGCAGCCTACT